ATGGATATGAAAAGAAAGAGCCCTAGGCAACATAATCAGCAAGGAAATGAAGTCTTTTTTCAAGTAAAGGTAGGTAATCTATGCATGTTATGATAAGTTCCCTACATTTTCCAGTTTGTTACTTCTTGTCAAGGCCTGTTGAAGTAGAAAGGAATAAATACAACTTAAGTTTTCAACATCTTTCTTACAGTTCATAGGAGAGCTGCAGTTATGGATGTAGCACATTTGATGATGTTCAAAGGTCTGAAAAACAGAATAAAAAGAATTTGTCACCCTTCTAACTACAATAAGAACATCAAGTTATTGTATGAGATTCTTAGAAAAAATTACTACCCTAAGATGCATCTTAATAAACTGCTATTTCAAGATATGTCAACAGTTAGAACACACCAAAGACAAACATTGGAAGGAGAAACAGTAGAAGTTTTCTATGGGAGATTGCCTTACATCAAAGGTTTATCACCACAGACCACAAACCTTTTCAGACAGTTCAACATAGTGATAGCAAATTCTGTGTACAAAAGATTAGGGACATACTTTACTCACCTGACAGAAAGAGTTAAAAAACTGGATAACTTCAATGTAGTGTATTCTATTCCATGTGGTTCTTGTTCAGAAGTGTATGTCGGTCAAACCAGCCAGAAACTCTCAAAAGAATAGCTTTGCACAGGAGTGATGTTGTAAGGAAGCCCACCAGCACAGCCTTTAGCCAACATATTAAGAATACTGGACACACTGCTAACTATGAAAATGTGCAAGTACTAAAGAGGGTTGACAACCAATTTAAGAGAAACTTCATAGAAATGTGCTACATCCATAACTGCAGCTCTCCTATGAACTGTAAGAAAGATGTTGAAAACTTAAGTTGTATTTATTCCTTTCTACTTCAACAGGCCTTGACAAGAAGTAACAAACTGGAAAATGTAGGGAACTTATCATAACATGCATAGATTACCTACCTTTACTTGAAAAAAGACTTCATTTCCTTGCTGATTATGTTGCCTAGGGCTCTTTCTTTTCATATCCATGTGGTGTGAGGTGCAAAAGTGAAAATTATAACCTCGTTACATATGACACCCGGATGTTGACAGAAATATGTCATCAAAAAAGAAGATTAATTCTTCTTTTCTACCTTTAACATGAAGTTGCAGTTTTTGTAGGTTGTAAATTTTAGACTTTTTGTTGTGTTTGTATTTGAAAAAATACCCTGTTGTGTTGTAATGTTTTTATTCAAAATTTTAAATGTATTTTTTAATATTTTTAACATGTTTGTGACAGTGTTCTTTACCACTAGGACCAACTGAACATTTTCAATGTAGGTTTTTAAATGTTGATTTCCACCACTTGTACTATAATAGGTTTTCCATTTAGGTGCTGATGAAGGTGACAACATATCACCGAAAATTTCACATTTAGAATAAAGTTCTACACCAAACTGGCTTATACCATCTCTAGCTGATCCTTGTTTTGACGCTTTCCCGAAAGTTACCCTCCATAGAATTGTATTCTTAGCGTCGTTATACACACTCTATATATATATATATATATATATATATATATATATATATATATATATATATATATATATATCTTCTGTCTCTCTCTTACTCATATCTTACATATGTAATGATTTCACCGATTGATTCCCGTGCAAATTTCCAACGTCGACCGCGCTTATAGAAGTATAACTTAAAAATTTACCGAATTACCGAAATATTTTTTATAATATTATATTTTATTTCTACATAGTTAAAAAAGCAATTTATCAAACTTCTCAAAAGGTGACTAATTAGAAATTGGTCTAAAAGCAATATTACGTTTTTGGAACAGAAAGGAAGAAAGCAATGTATACCAATAATTACAGGACAGGAATAAATGAAAATAATGGATACAAAAACTGGGAAACTAGAAGAGGAGAAATGAAACTGTACCTTAAACTGTTCGTCCAATTCCTTATTTTTTTCTTTTGCTAGTTCTTTCATAGTTTCAGTTTTGGCGAAAATTTCTTGAATTTTCTCGAGACCTTGCAAACTCTGTCTATCCTGCTCATCGTTTTTTTCAGTATCGCTTAAATTCTGTTCTTCTAGCGACAATTGTTTGGCTTGATTCAGTTGATCTTTTACTTGTTTTTCTGTAATACCGTCCATTTTATAATTAATTTTGAGGAGAACGAGAAATAAAAATGTAACTGAAGTGCGCTATTGACAAACGTCATGCTTGATCGATATTGCTATGGTAAACGCTTCGGGTTAAGATGTGCAGCCAATATAATTTAAAATATTACAAGGGTTTAATTTCCAAATTAAATATTATTGTGATTAATTTATAGTGTAGGTGTATATAATAGATAAATCAAATAAATGTGAATATAATGGATATCTTCTGGATAAGAAAAGCCATCTCACGTGTAGCATTATCTCATTTATATTTCTGGTTTAGTAGACCCAACGATAGCTGGCTCCTCTCAATTGTCACTTTAAGATATATTAGTAGTAAAAAGCAGCAAGACTTCTTCTTCTCGTGCCACTCCTAGCGGAGATTGGAAATCATCATGGCCACTGCGACTTTGTTAGCAGCGCGCCTAAAAAGTTCAATCGAACTACACCCGAACCATTCACGTAGATTACAAAGCCACGATATTTTTCTTCTTCCCACACTTCTTTTGCCCTACGTAGCAGGACTACGAGCGCAAAACAGGTCATTTTCCCATGTAAATCTTCATAAGAAATTATAAGGTCCATTTTGCTCGTTTTTGACGCTTTTTTGGTGGATGCGCGACGGCTTGTTGGAAAGGGGCGCGTTGGCTGGTCTGATCGTGATGTACAAAGAGGTCGTTGTAAAGGAGGGGGGCATTGCCAAAAACGGTATTATATCCTGATGCTATTGGTATGCTTGGATATGCGGATAACGTATGCTACGTTAAAGGTATTGGGAGTATCGAATATGTTATGTAATCCAGTAACTAACCGTTACGAGCTGCATACTATATTTTATCTACGACCATAACATAATTTAGTATGTTTAAGCGATGGTGTCATTACATCCTGTTGTTTTTGGTATGCTTGTGTTACGCTTGTGATACGTTAAAATATGTGGGGAGTATTGAATATGTTATTTAATCCAGTAAGCAAAGGTTACGAGCTGCATACTATATTTTATCTACGACCATAACATAATTTAGAATGTTCGGCGACAGTAACACTTTAAATCCAGGTAACAATAGGGTCACCTCAACCAATTGCAAGAAGTTTGTGAACTAAAAGGATATGTTTAACCCTTTCCCTACTTACTACTTTCCCTACATTTTTTATGATATAGCTGTATATTCTAAATTATGATATGGGCGTTGATAAAATATAGTATGCAGCTTGATATTTATACTGACTTCTCGAAGGCCTTTGACATGGTTAATCATATCCTTTTAGTTCACAAACTTCTTGCAATTGGTTGAGGTGACCCTATTGTTACCTGGATTAAAAGTGTTATTGTCGTCGTACATTCCAAATTATGTTATGGTCGTAGACAAAATATAGTATGCAGCTCGTAACGGTTAGTTACTGGAGCAGAATGGACCTTAGAATTTCTTACGGAGATTTACATGGGGAAATGACCTGTTTTGCGCTCGTAGCCCTGCTGCCATTTTACTATTAGTAATAATAAAAGTTTCATATCGTCCCTTTTTTATCGTTTACTGGATTATTCTTGTTGACTAATGTTTATTATAAACTATATTCAGGAATAAATCTTGGAAATATAACTGTTGTAGCGTCATTTTACTATACTGATCTGTAAATACTATCAAACTGGTACTTAGAATTGCCAAATTGTGCAGTATTTCATCACTATTCTTTTATTTAATTTGTAGCGTCTTCGGACTTTGTTTATTCATGTCAAAAGAACTATTAGAAGAAGTATTATTAGTTGTTCTTCCATGAAGCTTATTAGTAGGCGATACTAATAATATGCAATATATTTTTAGGTTGGACACATGCTGAAATTCGGCAATAGTACACGATCTTTTATACTGGAAGGTCCAGAATATGACGAAGAAGAAGAGTCAGAACTATCAGTTACTGAATTAAAAGAAAAAAGGGATAAAGAGATTCGGGAGCGAGAGGAGAGAATGATAAGACTGCAACAAGAAGCCGAGGAGAAAAAGAAGAAGGAGGAAGAACGCGGCGTAGATTGGGGATTAGGTAAATATTTTATATTCAACAATTTTTATTAAAAAATGTAACGTTTCCTTTCCGTTCAGATTTTTTTACTTAGTTGCGTATTTCTTTTTGGCTTCTAAGAACTTTCCTTTTCATAAAATGGTTTTATTTCATGATGTTTCAAGTCTGCTTTATATATGTATACGACAGCGATCCGATAAGTATTTGGTCTCACCTTTCGATGGCGCCACTATCGCAAGAGGTATGTACTATCATGTAGTTATTCTCCTCGACGGTTCAGGTGAAATTTTAGCCGAATCGGACTCTTAGTTTGTTTTGACCGCGTCTGGAATAGGGGGTGTCTGCGGATTTTAGAAAAATTAAAAAAAGACCAATATCGATCGATGATACAATTCTTGGTTTTGGAAGGGAAATTGAGCAGCGAAATCAAAGAGCGCTTGAATGCTGCGTACAGTGACTCTTCTCCTTCGATAGCCACCGACAATAATTGGTTTAATGAGTTTCATTGGGGATAACGTGACAAATATCCACGATATCCTATTGACAGACCGTCGATTGAAGTTGCATTTGCGTCGTTTCGTGATCGTCCATGAAACATGGATCTACTGGTACACAACAGAAACCAAGAAACAGTCGAAACAGTGGACTCTTCCGCGGTTAAATTGGGCCAAGCCTGCTGCCCCTCCACTGTATTCTCTAGATTTGGCTCCGTATAGCTTCTTTTTGTTTCTTGAAAACTTAAAAAAGTCACTCAATGGACAGAAATTTTATTAGAATGAGGAGTCATCGCCGCTACTAAGGACTACTTTGCAGACCTTGTGAAAACTTATTTTTCAAACGGGTTAAATAAGTTAGAGCATCGCTGAGTGAAGTGTCAACACCAATCACTAGACTTCGGCAAATATGCAAATAAAAATGTAGAAAATATGCGCATAAATATGCACGTGTTTACCCGAAAATATGCAAATATTTTACAAAATATGCATACAAATAAATAAAAAAATCGTAAAATAGTAACAATTTTATTTAAAAAACAAAGTGTACATAACTAAATATTTCCTACTATTCATTAAGATTTACATTTATTTTAAGTAACTACATCATTTTTAAGTATGAATAAACTTATTTAGAATTATGGTAACAATAAATGACCAAGTGGTGTTCAAAATTTTCTAACAAAAACTTGTGGCTTCTGTCTGAGTACATATATTTATATATGGAAAAACTTCGTTCAACATCAACTGATGTAACGGGAGCATTTTTCAAACTAACCAAAACATTTGGTTCTAAATTAATTGTTTCCGAAATATTTCCAGCTAGAGCACTGACTACTTCAGAAAGAATATGGTAATCTTTATTTTTTTCCATAGTAGCTTCAAATTTTTTTAAAATATCTTTTCCAATATTACCTCTAACGTTCCGACAACATGACGCAAATTCTTTTATTAATGCTGTACTTTCGAACAATGACAGTTTTGGTGATTCTAACTGAGTAATTGTTTTTTGAACAAAACTAAAATTTGATTTTATAAATGAAAGTTCTTGTTGAAGCAAGTTACTCTGAAAAGTTTGTTTAGAATCCAAAAGAGATTGGGAACTTTCATCTGTTAACGTATTAATTATGTTCTTTATTTTAACAAAATGTTCCCCATCGCGTTAAAATAGGTTGTGGTGGCAGAGGAATGTTAGGTAGCATTTTTTTGTAAAATTGAATTCTTATGGGAGATTTAAGAAATACTTTTTTGACACTGGATATCATGGTATTTACAAGAGGAAACTTTTTCGTATTTCCTCTGCAACTCTGTTTAATCCATGCGCTACACAAGTAACATGTATTAAATGTGGGAAAAATATTTTTAAATTTTGTCCTGCTTTCACCATATAAGGAGCAGCATCCGATAAAATAAGCAGTAATTTATTAGAAGGAATAGTTGTCGAAAGAAAAAAAGTTGCTAATGTTTCTTGTATAAAACGCGAAATTGTTAAAGCATTTGTTTTCTCAAGTTGCTGGCATGAAATAAGATGAGATTTTGGTAAGGTATCTTCTTTAAGAACACCAATCAATAAATGAGCAATACACTTTCCTGAGGAATCAGTGGTTTCGTCTACAGATATGTAAAAATAATTATCTGCAATTTCTTCCTTAATATTAATTAACACCGACGAGTATAGCCCGTTCACATTATTTCTTCTTAGAGACCGATCACTTGGAACATTAAGTTTGCAATATTTTTTTAGAAACGAACTAAAATTTACATTTGCTAATTTTGAAAGCGGTATGTTTGCAGACACTAATGCGCGACACAAGTCTTCATTAAAAGTTTCTTGCTCATCTAATTTTTTTGAAGTAGATTGGAAACATTTAGCCATTGAAGTTTGATGTTTTCCTCCTATTTTTCCTTTTTTTGCAATGTGTGAAGCAGTTCTCACATGTTGGTCTGTCTGAAATTTCTTCTCACATGCTATCTATAAATAAAAATAAAAACCTTTATTTTAACCCAACCTTTAAAATATAAAAATAAACAAGGTGTTTTTGGTTAATCAAATAACTGGTTTGGAAAAAAAAAACACTCGCTAATTGTTTTAAATGCAGTATTAATCCACAAATTAGTTTTTGTTACTAACCATTAGTACATCACATAACTTATTTTAAAATTCAACAAAAGTTTTTTTTTGTTAATTCAATTACAATAAAAATAATTGTGTTTTAGAATAGCTTACTTCATAAAAAAAAGTAAAGGTGAAAAATTTTTCTAAATACACACCATTGTATTGTACCATGGACAATTTTTTCTCACTAAAGGAAGCTATTTTTCATTTAAAAACAACCTACGAGTACTAAATTTCAAGTAAATACGTTTATTGGTTTTAAAGTTATTGTTGTTATTAACTAAAAGAATTTAATTATTTTTAATTTTAACACCCTGTATCTCGAAAAGTAAATAAATTTGACCCCTCATTAACTATATCGTTTTGTTCAATTTTTCGACAAGTATCTACAGTCAAACGTTGTAAGTGTCATTTGGAAACACCCTGTATGTATGAAATATTAGATATTTAATAGAAAATATTAGATACTTACAATTTTGCCACAGACTGAACAGTAGATTTTTCCCATATCCATAGACAGCTCTTTATAAGGTTTAATCCAAGTTGAAGCACTGGTTGTTTTAGGCATTATTAAATCACAATCTTCCTTTTTGTTACGCACAACGAGTGTTTACGCTTTGAATATCAAAACAAAAATGATTTACGAATCTGAGCATCAAATTAGAAATGTTTAGGTACCTAATTCAATAAACTGGGAGATTTTGGAAAATCCCTAAATTAGGAACAAAACTATTAGCCGTTTACCTGCTATTAAGATACAATAAATTGTAGATAGATTTGGGGATTAGATCATAAAATGCAAATGAGCGAACCCTTAGCGATTATCCAATAACTGAATGCCTCAGTGACCGAGACTTTCTAAGAATGTTGAGGGCTACTTAAATTGATCTTCTTTGAAATTTTAAATGTTTTGTACCTGTAGAGATTACGTACTTAGATCATTTCTTGATTAAAATGACTACAAAATTTTATACAAGAATTGAAATAAATTGGTATGTTTAAAAATTTTCAAATACAGTATAAAAATCTGAACTTTTATGCACTTTATTCAAACTTTTATACAAATATGCCAAAATATGAAATATTTGTATAAAATATGCACAATATGCAAAATATGCAATATGCATATTTGCCGAAGTCTGCTAATCCTAATTTAATTGAAAAACTAAAGTTGGAAAAACTCGAGTTACTCTATACTTTTAGCTCCTTCTATTGTCATCTGTCATGTCAAATCAAGAGATTTCGACATCTGATGTTTTCTTCGGGGCTTCCGGGGTTTTAGCTTTGTGAGCCACCAGACCAGACAGTTCAGACAGTTCACTACCCAATGACTACCGAACTTTTCACATAACATAATTTTTAATTTAGTTTTTAATATTTCTGTACCTAATCATGGTTAGCCATATTTTTTAAAATGAAAAAAAAAAACTAATATATAATATATATTTGCAACTTAATGGTTTTTTAATATTGCGTCTAATTAAGTATTTAAAATGTTCTAGGGGAAGATGCAGATGAAGAGACGGATCTCTCCGAAAACCCATATGCGCAAACCAATAATGAAGAGCTATATTTGGATGATCCGAAAAAGGCGCTTAGAGGATTTTTTGAACGAGAAGGTTTAGACTTGGAATATGATTGTAACGAACAAGGTTTGAAATTTATCTATTAGTATAACATATTATTATATTAGACGTAATAGATTTTGACAAGATCTACGACCTTGTAATTGTTTACGCAGAACTAACTGGTATACAACAATGGTACGAATCTGTCTTTTCGGTTCGGGTTTCAAAAGTGAATTCCCCATGTCCTAATAATCAATCCTAGAAATTGTGTATATGTTTATGAAGTATTTTTTCAACATGTTTTTCATTTCTAGGAATGGGTCAGTTCGTATGTAAGGTGGAATTACCTGTGGATGACGAAATGGGCCGACCTATAGTTGCTGAAGTTCTCCACAAAGGCAAGAAAAAAGAAGCTGTTATTCAATGTGCTTTGGAAGCATGTAGAATCTTAGACAGATTTGGAGTACTCAGACAAGCAACACATGGTAAATATTTATGTTTATTATTTATATGCATTTATTAAACAAAAACTAGTCGCGTTAACCATCTGGGTCATTTCTGACATTTAATAATTTAACGTTAATATTAGATACATGATTCATTTAAATTGTTAAAAGTTTAGTACTCAAGCGTCTACCTAATAACGTTTTTAACTCACAGGGAGTACTGCTGTTGGGTATATTTTTGACATTGCATTAATGAATACTTCATGAGTCATTAGATGCTTAGGAGAAATGTTTATATAGCCTAATCGTAGTCGGGAAATTTTAGCCTGATCAACTCTATTTTTGCCACCTAGCAAAAGTCGCGGTAGGAAAGATGGCCAAGATATGGAAGGACTCTCAAATTTCACGAACTCTAAAAATGAGGTTGTTGATCAACTGCTCAATATTCCCAATACTGACATACGGATATGAATCTTGGACCCTACGACTAGCGGAGAGAAGAAATATAAACACCACTGTAATGTTCCGTTGGAGAAGAATGTTACGAATTCCGTGAACCGACGGACAAAAATTCAATTTTAAATGAGGTAAAAGTCAGCAAACGGTTATCCAGCAAAGTTCATCTCCAACAATTAAAATACTTTGGATATATTATGAGAGCAGATACAGAAAACATGGAAAGACTTATTATCCAAGGAGAGAGTGAGACAGAGAGAGAGAGAGAGAGAGAGAGAGAGAGAGAGAGAGAGAGAGAGAGAGAGAGAGAGAATTGATATGACAGTGGCATGGACATATTAATGAGATATTAAATTTATTCCTAAAAATTCGTGAGAACATGTTGACATTCCCACAACTTTTATTTTCTTGCATACAAATTGTTTTATAATCTCCATAGATGTCAGCTATTTGTTGACAGCTATCTTTAGATATGTATTTTGACCGATCAATCATGTTTTTACGACAAATTCCCAAAAAACACATTTTAAACAGAAAACACAAACAAACAGAAAACACAACACAATGTGGCTTTCAGAATAATGTGATAGTGTTGTTGCCAAGACTTACCGGTATTAGTAAATAATAGTAGTATAGCACACTTTGAAGAAAAAAATATACATCTAAATATTACTGTTACACTGTCATAAGTGAGTTGTTACACTGCTACATATGTTACATCGGAATAGAATTCTACATAAATAGTTATAGCTATAACAGACATAAGAAAATATCTTTTCAACAGTGATGCTGACGAAAGTTTAAAAAAATACCCATTTAATGCAACAAAAATAAAAAAAACACTGAATTTCGTTTTGTGACAGTGTTGTTGCTGATGTGCGATATGTAAATGTATGTAAATCTTACCTTACAATTACAGTAACATATATTTTTAGCAATTTTGCGAAAAAATTAATTACTGATGAAGAAGTAAAATGTCAAGAAACTGTATCTTTTCAAGAACAAACTATGATTGAAATTTCAGATGTTGGTAGTTCATATTTCTTTCCTAGGTGGCGTAGTAACCCTAGCGGATAAACACTGTGACTTGTCCTAGCGTTTTATATAAATACATTTTGTGATATTTATGATTTTTATATTTTTTAATATAGTTGATATAGCCTTTTTTTTATTTGAATGATAATTGCATTTTTTCTCTTTGATTTGTGTTTATAAAATTTCTGTGGTACCACCAACAGTGGTGCCCTTTCTTTTTTGAAGAGTTATTCTCTTCCTTAATCTCCTTACTTTGTTAGTTAGTATATTTTCTTCCTCACCTTTAACAACTACCCCGCCCATAATCAATCCGGACTGAGCAACACTGCCTTGAACTTAGAATTTATCGAAATCTACACTTCATCTAATTTATATAACGATGCACGTCATCGCCGTCATAGTCTGTGACGTCACATGATACCAACACGAAATATTTAGGGTATAGGTGTGTTCTTTTTTAGAATCACTTTACCGAGTACACTGGCATTACAGCCACTAGACATATTTTATTATATACGCGTAGAAATAATATTTATAAATTTCTATTAATATTAACTTAAAGAAATACACAATAATATGTTTCATTTAATTTGTATAAATGCATTATAAAGCGTTTTTATCAAAAACATTTGTTCGGAACGCACTGTAACTGTAATGGACCACAGGAGTGATGACGTAGATTTTACTGACTTACGTCAGTTTCACTTTCCAAACAAACCTGGTTTAGTGTGGATAATTTGTATTTTTCGTTATTTTTTCATTTATTTTATAGAATCTTTCCGTTTATTGCAATATTTAAGTATTGTAATAGTTACTACAACAATTTTACAAGGTTGTGTAAATAATAAAGCATATTGTTTTATGCTAATAGCAATAAAATGCATGTATCAATAAAGTAAGGTTACAATTTCTTTATTTAAACTTTTAAACTATATTTCATAGAAATAGAACTCTGAATTATGATGGTATTATCGTAAAAAACACGATGCTTACAAGAAAAAGCAGCAGAGGAATCAAAATGTTAACTTTATAGAAATTAAAAAGTCTTGAGATTTGACATTTCAACTTTTGTTTGGAAAGTAATAATGTCAATGTGACAGTCGTAACGTCACACTCCTGCGGTTCATTGAACGAAGGTGACACTTTGGCATAAATTGGTAACACTTATTTGACAGTTGCGGTGTTGCCACTTTTTGCACATTATTATTTTGAATTTTAAAGTGAATATCTCTTTTTTATATTTTTAACTATTTAATGAAATCTGTTCTTTTTAGAACAAACTTAGTGTGTTTTATTTAAAAAATGTCACGTAAGAATTTAAACAGTCGTTGTAAAGAGATGGTAATACTTTTGCAATAATTATGTGATCTATTTGATTTAAAATGGAGTCAGGTTTTTTTATTCTTTGGCAACTATGTCAACTTCGATCTTTGACGTAGATAATGACGTAAGTCGTTATCTAAATTAGATGAAGTATAGATCACTAGGTAGAGTACAATGTTTTCATAGTTGCTTTCGTTTTAACATATTTTTTATTAGTCTGGCATCAGCATATTTTGTCTTTTTAGAATCTCGGAAAAGGAAAGCCAAAAACTGGGAAGATAACGATTATTACGATAGTGATGAAGACACATACTTGGATAGAACTGGAACTATCGAGAAAAAACGCGAAAAGCGAATGAACTCTAAAGCACCTCAAAAAGTAGAAACGTACGAAAGTTTGGTAAGCAATTTACAATAACAATTATTTATTTTGTATAAGTTAAAAAATGTTTGTTTATAAATGGCTGCACAAACAAACTTCATCACTTGAATTATTTGTGATTACCGGCAATAGTTTAGTGAATAATGTAAACCGATGAATATATATATATATATATATATATATATATATATATATATATATATATATATATATAGTCCCAAGATTCCTAAGAGGAACATAGGGCTTCCACAAAGTGTCTCCAGCGAACTCTATTTCTGGCTAGTGCTTTGATTTCAAGCCAGGATTTTCCCATTTTTCTCCCTTCGTCCAGTACTGTCCTTCTCCAAGTTCCCTTAGGTCTGCCTACTTTCCGTCGGCCTTGGTGATTCCAATCCAGCGCTGTCCTGGCAATGTCATTTGGCGGTCTACGGAGTGTGTGGCCCAGCCATCTCCATTTTCTTCGCCTTATTTGCTTTATGACATTTTCTTGGTTGCTTTGGTTCCATAAATTTTCATTGGAGATTCGGTTAGGCCAAAATATACGAAGGATTTTTTTTAACGCTCTATATAATTACTAAATATAATTCATCGGTTCACATAAAACATTTACCGGTTAATATCATTTATAATTTAATCTCAGAATTTTTTGAAAACGATTTCCGTACTGGAAATCGAAACGTTAAAACACATGTAAAATTGAATTCTCATTACAACCAATTGTGAGTTTATTCCAATAAAAAATAATCTTTAACTTAAACATACCACAAGAAATCAATTTAAGAACTGAATATGGGCTTTCTGTACTTTCTTCTTATATTCTTATGGCTTATCTGGTCCGGATGTTGGAGATTATTAAGGCTATTACGGTTTTATTGACTGTTCTGCGAAACAGATCCATGGCCAAATACTTTACCCTGCCTAATGAGTTATATAATTCGATGTTTTCCTTCGTTTTTCATCACGTGCCGGTGGTATTTAAGCTTACGTCGTTTTATTATAAATTAAGCACTTCTTTTTCTTTTCTCATGCGCTGTAGGACCTCAACGATGGTGACATGGTCCACATATGATATTTTTAGTATCCTCCTGTAGATCCACATTTCGAAGGCTTTAATCCGCTTTTCTTTGGCTGGCGTCAGTGTCCAGGCTTCAACTATATATAGTAACACTGAAAGAATGTAGCACCTCACTATCCGAATCTTAGTTCCCAAACTGAGATTACTTCAGCACAGCACAGCACAGCAAAGATCTCAACAACTTGATAAATGTAGACCGTGCCATTTGAATTTTGGATCTAATCTCTTGAGCGTAGTCCCATTGTGAGTTGAGGGTAGTTCAGAGGTAAGTGGATCTCTTCGCTACCTGACATTAGTGCCCCGGGATCTAAATTTGCATGGCTGACAACCATGAACTTAGTTTTCTTAATGTTAAGATCTAGTCCGTATGTTACGCTCACAGTTCTCACTCGATCTAGTATGGCTTGTTGATCATTTAGGATGGTTGCTAGTAACACAGTGTTATCGGTGTAGCGGATATTATTGATGTATTCATCGTTCACTCGTATCCCATTTCTAGGTTTGTGAGGGTAAAAATTTCACTAGAGTATATATTGAAAAGAGTCGGAGAGAGCAGACAGTTTTGCCTTACTCCTCGCATGATCTTCACTTGGTCAGTCAGCTAATCTTTGACCTTGATTTGAGCACGCTGGTTCCAGTATAAATTCATGATCCCTAAGGAAACGTAAGTTCCTACAGCTGGCTGTATACCATGTATCACAAAATTTTTTATTTAGAACCCTTTAGAAAAGGTATATAATTAAAACACCCAATCAGGCTATATCACAACCACAAAAGGTGACATCATGGTGAGCACTACACTCCCTCTAAAGGTCAGGACTAACGAGAGAAACTATACCTCTCTGGATGGCGCTTAATATTACCAAAATATTCCAGTTTACGATTTTTAACTATTCTGATAACTTCTGTAACGTTTCCTATCCACCGCAATTCGTTGCGAACTCTATCTATCGAACTTATTCTTACGATTCTCCGATACGCCCAGATTTCAAAGGCTTTCAGTTTTCTGAGACCTATACTCATCAATGACACCATTATAAAGAGTAAAGAATACATACAATCATACTCAGCTAATTTTTAGTCTCCAAAGTGATGATGTTTCCATATAAGATTTTTCATCTTAAAAAATGCAGCTCTGATCTTCTCTACATTTCTGTGGTCGTGTCCCAGTTCTCATTTACATTATAATCAAGGTAAGTAATACTATTGGTTCTTTCAAGTTGTTCACCAAGAGCTGTTAGCACTTTTGTCTTGTGGTCCCTATTCATCATTGAAGTCATTCGTAACTTAAATTATCAATATTGATGCAATTAATTTTGGTACCATATTGAACACATTATTCAAGGCTTTATTGAAAACTAACTTAGAATATATGTTAAATGTTTTGGGTACAATTGGGTACAAAATGCAGCCCTGTCTTACTCCTCCTGGTATTTGCAGCCCTTCAGAATTATCCCGACCAATCCTGATGTTTACACGTTGATAAATATAAATAAAGATTTTTACTGATACGTAGTAGATCTTTTTACGTTCGTCATTGCGAAAGTTAAAACATGTTTTTAAACGTTATTTTGTGTATTAAGAAAATTGAAAATTTTACTTATTGTTTAAACGATTTTTATAATGGTTTATAAATTTGTAGGTCGAAAAGGAAAAATCAATCTTGACTTCAATAGCCGACACAGAAAAACAAATATCTTCCCTTCAGTTGAAAATGGAAACGGAAGAGAATCAAGACAACGATGAAGATTCTTTGGACAGTTATATGAAGGGACTTAAGGATTCTAAGCCGGATAAAAGGTCGATAGCTAGACTTAAAACCGATTTAATAACACTAAGAAGTGAACATTCCAAGGTGTTACAGTTAGTAAATCTAGTAAAACCAGCCAATTTACCTCCCTTGGTAACCAAAGAACCTAGTTCGAGTACTAACAAAGGATCTGCAGCGTTGCCGCTCTTCGGTAAACGGAAAAAGATTCAGATTAAATTTGAACAAAAGCCGAAATACCAACCAATTTCAAATGATGATCTGGACGATGAAGAAGAGGAAAATGGCGGTAAGCAATTATATTTCATTTCAAACATGACTTTTGAGAAAAATACACTTGTATAAACCAAAAGATTCAATAAACTACTAGCTTGTGTGGTATGGGATAAAGGAGATTACATCCTGTGACGGGTAGCTCTATTAGACACCAGACTCAGTAAAGCAAAAGTTTAATCTAAATAAAAATATATTCAAATATGTAACAAAATTAAAACTTACCTCTATATAGTATGTACAATAAAAATAAGAAGACGAATTCTTATAAATAAAATCGACGCGGCTGCGGTCCGATGATGATACCAGTGAAAAATAAATATTAACGTCACTGGGATGGCTGAGGCAAGGGGCGATCTTCAGTCAATACCCAAAAACCGGGTAACTACTGATCATTACTCAGGCTGGGCCAGAGGTAGGACGGAGCCGGTCGATCAATACTCGACACAGACGGGGAACGGAAGCGATTAATTAAGAAGGTACGGAAAAAGACGGTGGCCTTTCATCAATACTCAGAGACCCGGAAGTAAGAGCCCTTACCAGATCAATACTCCGGATCGAACTCAGGGTACAGCGAATCGACAGGTATAACCTTTGCCGAACCGCCAAAGGTTATACCTTTGCCAGTGTTCCATCTCCAGCGCGCATCGACAGCCGGCGGCGAGCGCTGACGGTGCCATCGTTACAATCCATTGATATTTTTAGTATTATTATTTTACATTCTTTAGTACTTAATGCTTTATTTTGTGGAAGCAGACCAATTGTAATTGCTAAATCTAATTATAATTAAAGTATGCATAATTTTCAGCGATGCTATCTCTAGTCTGTGTAAACTATAGCGTCGTACATTCAGGCATCGTCATTCATCCAGAGTTGAATGGAGGTGATAGACCATCCAGTGTTGTGTTAAATTACATTGGTGGAAACTATGTCATTTTCTGATATCGTTATAAAAAAGTAATGCTTCGCAATTAAGTTGTTACAGATTACCCATTACCCGTTACGTATATGTACCTGACTCAATACAGCTTTAAAAAAATGAATTTTTTTAGATGGAAAAATCTATATTAACGGAAAACTTTAAATACTGATTATACTTGGTTCAATAGTACACAGGTTAAATAGATATGATTTAATTATAGTTAATAGTGTCTTAGTGTAGTAACACGTCTCAAATATTAAATCCTACCACAACTCCCGTCGAACTAAAACAGGATTTGTACCTGGAAAAGGCACTAGAGAACAGATTTTAAATATTGAGAAACAAGACAAATTAACAGATTAAAATGGAGAAGACTACACCAAAATGTTCGATGACGTGCGTTGACAGCAACTATGGAGCATCCTCGAAGAAATGGGTATACCCCATCACTTGATATATAAGGTATAAAAGCTTGGTATAAAAGCTTTTTCTTCTTCGTAAAAAAAGATATGTAAATTAATGTAGGTATCTAATATTTAAATCCATATTTATTTATGTTCTGAGATTATATTTAGATAAATCGTGAGAGTTAAAAAATCTTTTGCTGTTCATGCTTCGTAACCTACTACGTTAAGTGGTTTTGGTTATATCTAAACTCAAACTTCTAAAAAAAAACATTTTTTGCTGTTTTTGAATTCTGTGAATGTTCACGTTTTCCCAAGGATTTAGGGAGATATTCTATGTTAAAAAGATATCTTGGCATTTTCAATTTTATTCAAAAGTAAATTTTGAGTCAAGTTTGTATATAAAAAAATTGCTAATAAAAATTCTCTATATTAGCTACGAAAAAATGAAATATTGTGTTATGAAAATTTTAATAAACGGTTTAAATTTTATCCGGAAGGTAATTTGTTATCACTTGTGTCGACGACAACCCATTTTGTATTTGAACGGTCCGCCACTGCAGCCCAGCCAGCCAGCTAGTCGGTACAGACGACAGATGACAGAATGACATTCCATCACCAGCCGTTGAGAAGCATAGAACTATTTGTTATTGTTTTCATATTTTTGTGCAAATTCATAAATAAATGCAGTATTTTAGACTATTAATTAATTTCAATAAATACAGTCCACTACAACAATAAACATTGGTCATTCGACCCGATATTTGTGATAAAATCAGTGGTAAAAGTGATTCACAGTTAACGGTCAAGTGAAAGAACACGTGGGATTGCCGAACAATATACAGCCAAAAATACCGGTGAGTTCCCATCTGATTCCTATACCTATTTATACTCTTTTTGTTTGTGTAAGTTGCATAAAACTATTTACAATCTATATATCTATTTAAATTTAATTCGAATCTATTTGATTAATAAACAATGTCGGACGAACACTTAAAAAGATTAATTAGAAAACGTGCTGGTCATAAAGCTTCATTTACAATTTTCTCCAAATTTCTAGAGTCTATTAAATGCAAATTAGAATTACATGATGTTGAAAAAATCGAACTAAGCGACAGAATAAATAAACTAGAAAATACATTTTTAGAAATTAAAATTATCCAATCAGAAATAGAAGAATTGGCAGACGATCCCGAACCACACTTTGTGATAAGGGAAGAACTTGAAAACAATTTTTATTCACTATCGGCTAATGCCAAAGCATTGTTAAATAAATTTATTTCAGATATTGATGATAAACAGTCGGTGACAAACAATAACACTTCTATTTCTGACGGGGCTTATCGTTTACAAGGTGTAAAACTGCCAACAATACAAATTCCAAAGTTCGACGGCACATACGAATTTTGGCTAGAATTTCGAGACACTTTTGAGTCACTCATTCATACAAATGATAGTATTACAAATATTCAGAAGTATCATTATCTTCGGGCATCATTACAAGGAAATGCCGCCGCAGTCATAAAACCTATCGAATTTTCCGCAAACGGGTACAATTTGGCAAGGGACTCTGTATGTGATCGATACAATAATAAAAAACTCTTAATACACAATCATATTAAAGCTTTATTTTCATTGGAATCTATTCACAAAGAATCTTTTGTAAAATTTCGTAAATTAGTAGATGATTTTTCAAAACATTTAAAGTCACTTCAACAATTAAATCAGCCGTGTGAACAATGGGATGCCTTACTTATATTCATTATAACATCAAAACTAGACGAAACTACTATTAGGGAATGGGAAAAGCATATTGCTACTCAAACGGAACTACCAACTTTATCCGATCTAAAAGGATTTTTAAAATCAAGAGCAGATTTTCTAGAGGCAATTGAAATGAACATTGAAACAAAAAATAAAAGTAAGGAGAACAGGACGACTAGGGGATTCTTAGCAACAAAAACAAACTATACATGCGTCTCTTGTCAAGGCGACCATAGCATTTACACTTGCGAAACATTTTTAAATTATCCAATAAACGAAAGGTGGAATTTTATTAGATCAAAATCATTGTGTACAAACTGCTTGCGATCGGGTCACTCCAATAAACAGTGCAAACTCGGGCCATGTCGCAAGTGCAAAGCACGTCACAACTCACTTTTACACAATAATACAAATGATAGGAGCATCATTATAAGCCAAAATAATTCAGGCACATTCAATAGAAATTCGAATATATCCAATAGCAGTATTAATACAAATCCATCACAAAGTACAAGTGAGCCAATAAATCCAGGAACAAGTAACAATACATTTTGTGGTAACAGCATGCTTTCTTGTTCTGATACAGGCTATGTTTTTCTCTCAACAGCAATCTTAAGTGTTAAAGATATGAATGGTAAAATGCAAAGGGCTCGTGCACTATTGGATTGCGGGTCTCAATCTTCATTTATCACAACAAACATGTGTAACAAACTAGGAATCAAACCACAAGATGTCAGCTTAAATCTTTTGGGCATAGGCAACAAACTATCAACTATTACAGGTCAATGTCAGTTAGAGAGTTGCACATCTAATAATAAATTTGTAAAAATAATCAACTGTTTTGTATTGCCAAAAATAACAAATATTCTTCCTCATACAAACATTGATGTAAGCGCTATAAACATTCCTAATACAATTCGGTTAGCAGATCCTAATTTTGGCAATGCTGGATCTATTGACATTCTTATCGGCGCAGATATTTTTTGGCATTTGATTTGTAAAGGTCGCATATCTTTAGATCAAGGTCCTATTTTAACAGAAACAATATTTGGGTGGATAATTTCTGGCCCGCTGGGATCGATTCCCCACAATACAATATCTTGCAATCTTAGCACAAATCTGGAACTAACTAAACTTCTTCAGCAATTTTGGGAAGTAGAGGAATTGCCAAATATTCCTCATCTATCTGAAGAAGAGCAATTGTGCGAGGACAATTTTCAAAAAACTACTACACGTGATCCAAATGGTAGATTCATAGTTATGATGCCATTAAAACAATATCCGCTTGTGTTGGGTGATTCAAGGATACAAGCTGAAAGAAGATTTCATCATCTAGAAAAAGGATTAGCACAAAACAATCCTCTTCGCGAACAATATATACAATTCATGCGCGAATATCAGGAGCTAAACCACATGTCGTTAGCAGATATCTCTGAAAACTCTACTGTCGACTACTACATGCCACATCATGGTGTCCTAAAGGAGGACAGTCTTACAACAAAACTTCGTGTCGTGTTTGACGCATCTTCACCAACAAGCAACGGGTTATCATTAAACAATATTCAATGCGTCGGACCCAGTATACAACAAGATCTATTCTCAATTCTCATCCGATTCAGAAAACACAAATTCATCATAAGCTCAGACGTAACCAAAATGTACAGGCAGGTGTTAATTCATCCCAGCCAACGCAGTCTTCAAAAAATAGTCTGGAGGGAAAGTCCTTCAGATCCATTACAACATTTTGCTTTAAATACGGTTACTTATGGCCAAGCATCAGCCAGTTTTCTTGCTATCCGATGCCTTTTCGAGTTAGCTAACGAATGCCAATTGTCGCAACCAGAAATCGCGAAGATATTACGTCAGGATTTCTACGTAGATGACTTGTTAACCGGTGCGGATACTATTACTGAAGCTTCGAACATTTGCCGTGAAGTCTCACGTATTTTACTTACAGGTTGTTTTCCACTCAGAAAATGGATTTCAAATGACCCAAGAGTTTTAGAAAGGGTAAATAATCAAGATGATTCCTTTGGAATTCTAAACCTCTCTAAAGATGGAGTCACAAAAACTTTAGGACTTATTTGGTCATCCCAACGTGATTCACTATTATACAATGTACAATATAACAATTACAAGGAAACTTGTACCAAAAGAGATGTTCTTTCTTTAATTGCAAGAATATACGATCCACTAGGCTTAGTAGGTCCTTGTATCATACTTGCGAAGATTCTAATGCAAAGGCTATGGACTGAAAAACTCAATTGGGATGAAAAATTAAGCGGTTCATCACTAAATACTTGGAATAGATTGAAAAATGATCTTGCCAATCTAAAACAATTAAGTATACCACGTCATGCAGTGTGCAATAATGCTAAAGATATAGAAATACACGGTTTTTCGGACGCATCACAACAAGCCTACGGTGCTTGTATCTATTTAAGAAGTACTGATGTCAAGGGAAATATCTCGGTTAAAATTCTATGTGCTAAATCAAAGGTTGCCCCTATCAAAACTCTAAGCATTCCACGCCTAGAGCTTTGCGCAGCTGTATTACTTTCACGTCTTTTAACTAAGGTAATTGAATCCATCAATATAGACCTCAATAAATGTTATTTATGGTCAGATTCCACAATAACCCTTGCTTGGATCAATACTTCTCCTAACAATCTTCAAACCTTCGTAGCTAACAGAGTCTCCGAAATTCAGGTCTTAACAAAGTCCTATACATGGAAGTATGTACCCACACAAGATAATCCTGCAGACCATCTATCAAGGGGATTATCTCCTTCTCAAATACTAAATTCTTCACTATGGTGGGACGGTCCGTCATGGTTGTCTTTAAGGAAGAATTTTGGCCCCTTTTAAATCCAAAGGTAGACATTCTACCCGAAATAAAATCTCAAACTATTCTCAATTTTGTTTCCTATTCTCAGCAAGAACAATGGTTTCCATTCAAGGCCTTTTCACAATATTCGCGTTTACTGCGCGCATTTGCATACATCCTTAGATTTAAAAATAATTTATTAACACCCAAAATTCTTAGAGAGTGTGGCTCTCTAACATTAACCAATATTAATGACGCTCGTCGTTATTTATTGAAGATCATACAACTACACTCTTTTCGCGAAGAGTATGATCAGCTGTCAAAACAAAAAAGCGTTAGTTCCAACAGCAAGCTCTTCTCTTTAAACCCATTTATTGACCAGGATGGTTTAATACGTGTTGGTGGTCGCTTGGCTAACTCGGATTTTCTATATGACAAAAAACATCCCATTATTCAAAACATCATTTCACGATATTATTTTTCCGTCATGAACACCTGCGTCTATATCATGCAGGCCCTCAGCTGCTTCTATCTACTATTCGGGAGACATATTGGCCTATATCAGGCAGAAACCTATCTAGGTTGACTGTTAAACAATGTACCACTTGTTTACGATTTAATCCTAAACCTATACAACCAATCATGGGTGATTTACCACGTGACCGATTACTATACACATTTCCCTTTGCCATCACTGGTATTGACTACGCCGGTCCGTTTTTGTATAAAAATAAGGGCAGAGGTGCCAAATTAAATAAATGCTATATTTCATTATTCATATGTTTTGCTACAAAGGCGATTCATCTTGAGCTCGTAACCGATTTGAGCACTCAAACATTCATGCTTGCCTTGCGCCGCTTTATCGCTCGTAGAGGAAAGCCAGCCAAATTGTACTCAGATAATGGTAGAAACTTCGTAGGTGCCATGTCTGAACTTAAAAGATTTTTAAAAATTAACAATGCACACATACAAGATTCATGTACACATGAGGGTATTGAATGGCATTTAATTCCGCCATATTCTCCACATTTCGGGGGACTCTGGGAATCCGGAGTAAAATCTTGTAAATTTCACTTAAAACGTTCACTTAAAAATACAAATCTTACATTTGAGGAGTTTGCAACAATACTATCACAAATAGAAGCAGTACTCAACTCCAGACCTTTGTGTCCTATTAGTCCTGATCCTAATGATTTAACACCACTCTGTCCCGCTCATTTCCTCATCGGTAGAATGCCAACGCTAGCTCCAGAACCAGATCTACTCCAAGAGATTCCACAACGACTCAATAGATTTCAACGCATCCAACAAATTTTCCAAAGTTTCTGGAAGAGATAGTCTTCCGAATACGTCGTCGAGCTACAGAGACGTTCTAAGTGGCAAATATCCAAGGGAGAATTAGTAGAAGGAACTTTAGTCCTTATCAAAGATGACTGTCTGCCACCAGCAAAGTGGAAACTAGGCAGAATAACTCACATACATGACGGATCGCAGAATACCGCTAGAGTTGCAAAAATAAAGACTCAAGAAGGTATCATCACGAGGTCATTCTCCAAAATATGTCCTCTCCTTCCATTAAATTGAAAGATTCAGGATCTTTCAAGGCCGGGAGTATGTCGACGACAACCCATTTTGTATTTGAACGGTCCGCCACTGCAGCCCAGCCAGCCAGCTAGTCGGTACAGACGACAGATGACAGAATGACATTCCATCACCAGCCGTTGAGAAGCATAGAACTATTTGTTATTGTTTTCATATTTTTGTGCAAATTCATAAATAAATGCAGTATTTTAGACTATTAATTAATTTCAATAAATACAGTCCACTACAACAATAAACAACTTGACATTTAAAAAAAAATGTTAATTGTACATATTTTTATCATGATATATTTTTTTAGATTCTACTAAAAGTAGCCAAGAGAAGAAGCAAGTACAAAGCGATGAAGAGTCTTCGACGTGCCTATCAAAAGATACAAAAGACGATACTACTGACGTGATTAATATAAGAATAGCCGAAACTAAAGAACAACACAACCAGAATATTCAAGAGTCAAAAAGTGTAGGCCCTCCTCCCACAGTTTCACAGGTGGATTCTTCTTTAGATGTAAACGACTCCGCGGATTTAAAAATATACTTAGATTTGTTTAATCGAATTTTACAAAGGACTACACCTCTTTCTGCTAGTAAGTAAATAGTTATAACTAAGCCATGAATTTCAATGACTACTATATTTTGTAAAATTTGAATTCTTTCCTCTTACCTTCTTGTAGGTATGTATTTGCAGCATATATATCATACTACAGTCTATGATAACTATTTTCTCATTCTTTTGTTCGTTATACATTTATTCCTTTTACTATAGAAGCCATACTAAAAGTGGGAAAAGAGGTCCTAGGTGAAGAAGAGAAAACCACTAAAAAAAACTGAAAAAAGAAAATACAAAAATAAAGATGGAAATAAATATAAAACCTTCAAGAATAAAATCAAATATGAAATCAGAAAACCTAAAGAGGAATTGATTGCACAAGGAATGCCAGGAACTGGAGGAACTCAACAACAAACATGACATCTCAAACTTACATAAAAAAAAATGAAAGAACTTACAGGCAACAACAGACAAAGAACACTCATAACAAGAGATAATAATGGAGGAATACTTAGTGAAGAGAGCAAAATAAAGGAAGCATGGGAACAATATATAATCCATCTATTTCATGACAAAAGGGAAAATGGACAAGATATAAGTGAAGAAGAACAATACCTACAAATTTTACCCTCAGAAGTAAAGCATGCCCTACAGAATGCAAAATAAGGAAAAGCACTGGGTCCTGATCAAATTCCAGTTGAACTGTTAAAAGCCTTACATGAGGTAATATAAAGAGAAAATTGATAAGCCTAATGTGCCACCCTTTAAAGATTTTCTTGAAAATTGTTCAAAACCGAATTTATAAGAAATGTGAGGAGTAGATAGATCAAACGCTGTTTTGGCTTCAAAGAAAGCATTGGTACAAGAGAGGCATTATTTTGGGTTGACGGTACTCTTGCAGATGTGTCGGGAATATAACAAGATTGCATATGTATGCTTCATAGACTTTAGAAAGGCATTTAACCGAGTACAGCATATGAAGTTAATAGATTAATTAAAAACCATCAATTTAGACAAAAAAGACATTGAGTTTATTAAGGCTATATACTGGAACCAGAAAGCAGTAATAAAGATGAACGATATAGAAACAAATAATATACCGATTGGTGGTGAAGCTTAAAGCCTTTGAACTTTGGATATACTGGAGAATGTTGAGAATTTCATGGACTGCCAGGGTCCCATTAGGAAGTGCTGAAAAGGATGGGTCGAGACAAAAAATTGTTGAGAACAATAAAAGTACGCAAGACTGCATACCTTGAAGTCATGGCTGCGAAATAATCGAGATTGGACAAACATAACTGTAGACGAATTATTCTACGTTGCAAAAGACAGAGAAACTTTTAGAAATGTGGTAGCCAACCTTCGTAAATGGGGACGGCATAGGAAGAAGACTATAGTAGTTCTTTTTTCTATCAAGAATGACTATTATTACATTATCTTTAGTAACACAATAACGTGGGAATTTCTTATTTTCCTACCTTCTCTTTTCAAAGCATATTCCAGTTTTAGTCAGTTTTGGACGTTAGTTTATGCATGTTGCTGGAATGAGAATGCTTAGGCAGATGAGCATAATGACAAATACGAAGACGATTGAAGTGCTGGCCACTTTCTGGGAGGATTTTGATAGTGGTTGAATACAAGGACCTCAGGTGAGAACCAGAGTCCTGGTCTTCATCCTTGAGTCAAAATCCATAAATACACAGATGATTAGGACGCGCCTTTAGCATCTGAATCCGATGCTGAGGACACAGAACTGGTCCCTGTTAAGCAGGAAAATAGACTAGGGGACCAGCTTCCGGCCTTTACTATAGATGAAGAAACCTGCAATTCTTCCCTCCCTCCAATTTGAAGAAGAAGAACTACAAAGCTTACTCTGGACTTATTAGTGTAACCGTCAGAGATTTTTAAGTCAAGAAAGATAGGCCTAAGAGTAACACTGCAAGGCGGTCACAGCAGTCCTGGCAGCGTTTGAGAGGATGTTTGCTATTGCCCTAGTACAAGAGCCTTGGGTAAACGAAAGGGAGGTTAGAGGTTTAGGGTTAAATGGAGAATTGATCTACAGTAGATCTACTCTGAAGTAGATCAACTCTGAGGTAGATGTAGTACTCAAGTTCTCTGAACCTGTGTGATTGCCAGAAGATCGCTAGAGATACTGCCGCCAATTAATTTTTGTTCCAAAGATCTGACGACAGTAACAGTCAAGATCGGTGAAGGAAGAGGACCGAGAGAGATTATTCTGGACTCGGCCTAGCTTCCGATCTTCTTCTTCTTCGGACGATCCAGCAACGACATCGACCAATGAAGTGGAGTTGGTGAGACAGTGCAAAAAATTAAGGATGCAGCTGCTCATCGGCTGCGACGCCAATGCACACCACAGGATCTGGGGAACACGAACATCAAAACAAGGGGTGAATTATTAATGAAATTTATTCTGACAAATAATTTGGACATATTAAATGTAGACAAAGAACCGTCTTTCATAAGAAAAAGTAGAAAGGAGGTTATAGATATTACAATAGACTCAAATTTTATATCAGAATGATATGTAACTGAGGAGGAGATCTGCTTAGATCATAGAAAGATTAGATACACCTTAGAGGGGAAAGCAGTCAAAGTCACTTATCGGAACCCACCTAACTGGGAGACTTATAAAGAAGTTCTAGACCAGCATCTGTCGAGCATGAGGAGAACGATAAATGATCTACATGACGATCTACAAGACGATGTGATTTCAGCATTCTAAGAAACCTGCCCTCTAACGGAGAAGAGTTGCACCAAGGATACGCCATGTTGGAATTAAGAACTGTCTGTGTTGAGGAAAAGGACGAGGAAGCCATTCAAAAAAGCCAAAGAAGCCTGAAAGTGGAGAGAATACAGAACCACATGGACGTAATACTATACAGCTATAAGAGAAGCCAAAAGAGACGCGTGGAGGAAGCACTGTGAGGAAATTTAAAGCATGTGCTAGACTTTAAAAGATACTATCAAAGGAAAAAACATAACCAATTAACTCACTCCTAAGTGACATTGGATTAACGTCTCTAAAGTCAATTTACATTTCGAACCCCAAAGACGCTTATTATTAAAATATTTATATCAAATAGATTGCTGAATATACGGTTTAATAAATTTTTAAAATTTACAACCAAGAACTGGTGTACTCTACAACATAGTATATCATACTATACACTAAGTTTTGTGCCTCTATACACCCGACACCATGTTTTCTTATTTATCGAGTCTAGTATGACTTTGGTAATGCTCTTGATAATGTATCCTTATTTTACTTTTATACCAATTAATTCTTTATAAACGCCATAATCTTGTTTTGTAATATTTCTTTATTTTTTGTTTTAGGTCATCAAAAATATGTTGATACTATTAGAAACAGTATGAACAAGGTCGCTTCTAGCGAAAGTCAACGAAGTCCGGATCGGGATATTTGTTTGGCCGAAAAGAAGAAATTTGATACATTAATATCAGATTCCAACAAGTCTGATAGTAAGGGTAGATCACGAATATCAGAAACTGAACTTGATAGAATGTCAAAGAATGTAGAGGAGCTGGATATTATAACCGAAAAGATATGTAGCGTTGTCGACGAAGTAACATTGTTAAAAATTGACATAATTAATTTTGCCAAAGCTGTGCTAACGGATTGGACGCAAAAATTGAAAAATAAAGAAGAAAATCAATCGAACATTGAACCTGTTTCTTGTAATCCTCTCATCCCTAAATCCCCTGAAAAAAGAGTAAATATGGATGTTTCTGACGAAAACCTAAAAGACGAAGAATCTGATTCACTTAATGAAAATACTGAAGTAGAAAGTTTTACTGACCAAAGAAAAAAGAAAAGGAATCAAAGAAGAATTCACCAAAGACAGGGGAAGCAGGAGCAAGAAAAACAAAAAGGTTATGAAGATGATGCTTCGAGAGAAAATTATAGCATGTGGGTACCTCCAAGCGGTCAAAGTGGAGATGGAAGAACAAATCTAAATGATAAATATGGCTACTAAATACTATCTACGTTTCTACAAATGAAGACCTTAATGCAACATATTGCAAGTTTTTTTTTAAATCTGCAGAATGCTAGTTTTAATGTAAAGATCTTTTGATATTTAATTGTGTCAACCTTATAGGATTATAATTTAATATCTTGAGAAAAACATAGTTTTGTGAAAAGAATGGGGTATATTTGACATACATGTGGCATAACATGTTCTTGCTAATTCTAAACTAATCAGTAAAAGGACAGCAAATATTTGATTTCACGCAAAAAGCGCCTTTGTATCTGTTGATACGTATTTCGACCTAATAGGTCTCATCAGAACAGTTATTATAACTCCTTTATCAACGTCTGTTTTGCTTTGCAATTTTTAGAAAGCACAGATTAAAGCGGAAATCTGAATTGTGTTTCGAAACTATTTTACGGTTCTAAACTAATCATAAAACTAATAAAAAAACATTTCCACCTCTTCATTTATACAGTATAGGTAAAAGTTTATGGTCGGTATGGACCTTACATGAGATGGAGTGAGAAACAACTGTTTAAAAAGAGAGAGATATATTAGGTGTCCGCCTTTTATATCACCGAATATAAATGAGTGGATATGGAGTGGATATAATAAAAAGGGGAAATTCAACGTTGCCAAACTTATTGGTTTTATTTGACCTGTTGTCTTTTTCGCATTTGAACAATGCTCCAAGATAATGAAATTTGGGCGAAATGGATTTAAATGGCAGCTTATTGTTTTTTATTGGGAATATGCCACAATATTACTTTACAATAAGTGTAATATAACATTTTGATTTATACTCCGGAAATCGTTTTTATATAAATAAAATTTATTAATGTTTGGTATTTTAAAAAACGATTTCCGAATTAAAAATCTAAACATCAAAATAAGCTTATTTTAAAGTGACATTATGCCTTATTTCCAATAAAAATATTATACTGCATATAAATAAAAAAAAGCTTCGTACAAAACTATTTGCCAACGTGGCGTGTCGCGTGGTCAAATCACCGAATCAACGCGTACACAGGTATTTACGAATAGAGGTGGGTCATTGACGTCGCAAACCGATTTTCGTAAACAAGTAACTATGATTTTTTAATAGTAGTTTCAAGTAAGAAACTACCTACATAAACAAACATAATGGCTATTATCGTTTATGTGTATATTTATTGAAGTGAAGGAAACTAATAAAAGATTTTATTAAAACTTGCAAACTAAACTAAACAATACAAATAGTAAATCGTACCTACGTTTACATTACACGTTATTATTAAATCACGAATCGTCTAAATTGACATTTGAAAACATAAGTTTTTTTACTTTAGTTCTTATTAACCGTGTTTTTCTTTTATTTAAAATTAAACCTGATTTTTGAACATGTGTTCACATTTACAATACTTTTTTCCACCATTGTAATGGACTCTCGCTACAGGTGTACGTTTAGATGAGTCATGTCCAATTAATTGATCAAAAATACAATACACCATCGGTTTCTTTTTCTTATACTGGTTGATTTTCAATAGTACAATCTTCTTGTTCTTTAATTATAAAAGTAACCAGCTTCTTAACTCTTTCTTTTGTTTTTTTAGCGTTATTTTTATCAGAAAATCCCTGCACTTTAAATCGTGAATCCATAAACGTACATAATGACAATATGCTAATCTAACCCTCTAAATCTTTTTGCTAAACCCGAGATTAGCAATTATCCCGTAATTAGTAATTAAAACCCGTACTACGTCGGATACTATGGATGTAAGGTTACTGTTTGCTAAAATTTTATTGCAAGATTTTTGCAGGCAGCGTACCAGAACAATCACTGAACTATCATTCAAGTATTTTTTGGCCACTCATTGTACTTGTTATTTCTTTAAAAGGCCGTAAAATTTGGGACAATTACGAAAAAATAATCCAGTCTTCATTATTTAGATTTGGTCTAAGTCTAAGTCTGTATTAACTGATACCAATGTGGAACGGATTGCCTCTTCTAACTCCGTCATTCTTTCTAACATGTAATAGGTGAAGTTCTACCAAGTTTCCACGTCTTGGATTGGCCGTTTGGGATCTTTGTTATGTTGTAATTGATACTTTAAAAGCGTTTCTGAAGATAAGGTACTTTTTTGAAATGTGTTTTTTGCTGAATTGTCGAAAAAAAAGACTTTTATTTTATCTATGTGTACACGACAGCATTTAAGTGCGTCCTCCATCAATAAATTTAACGTATGAGCAAAACAATTTAAATGTTTTTATTCCAAAACATATTTAATAGCTATGACCATATTTGAGGCATTATCAGTTACTGCAAAATTTACTTTTTGTTTTAGACCCCACTGAATAATAATTTCACTAATTTTAAAAGTGATGTTTTCTGAATTATGGTTTCCAGAAAAATGGCAGCAGCCTAATAAAACCGTGTTAAACTCTAAATTTTCGGTTAAATTCGTTAAAATCAACTAGTTGGTGGTTGAAGCCGGTTACTTCTATAAAAAAAAAAGAAAAAGAAGATTATACTATTGAAAATTAAATAGTACAAGAAAAAGAAACTGATAAAGATGACTTAAGTCCATGTAAATGTAAGTACTATTTGTATTGTTTAATTTATTTTTCAAGTTATAATAAATATATTCTTCGTTAGTTTCTTTCACTTCAATACTTATACACATAAACGATAATAGCCAATATGTTTGTGTACTCGCTAATTTGAATACTGGTAAACAATCAACTAGTTACAGTTTACGAAAAACGGTTCCGATAAAAATTTAAAAAACTAGAGGACCCACCTCTAGTTTCTTAGCTTTATGAGGATCGGAACCACAGAATATGTAAAATATCTCTGATCGGAACTAATCGTCTCACTAACAGGCAATGGGCGTCAAAAAGATTTATGGAGGGGAGACCAAGGGGGAATATGATTGTTTATCTTTGTCTATTTGCTGAAAATATGATTTTATATCTGTGTTAGATATCCTGTTAAGTTTTACCATACCGACCATAAAATTTTACCTACACTGTATCTACACAGAAGCTTAGTTTAGGTGATTGTAAAATGAATGGTAGAGTGTCGGGATCTAAATCAAGAAGGTCGGTAAATTTTCTATTTTATTTGACCCAATTTTTAGATGAAATTAAAGGTTAAAATACGTTTATTGACGTTTCAATTTCCACTTCGTAAATCGTTCTCAAAATACAAACATTAGTAAATTAAACAAAGTTTGCTTTTTTGTTACTTAAAAAAAATTGTTTAATTTACTAATGTTTGTATTTTGAGAATGATTTGAACGATTTCCGAAGTGAAAATTGAAACGTCAATAAACGTATTTTAACCTTTAATTGTGGCTTATTCCCATTTAAATAGCAATTACTTTAAAATGCCACAAGAAAGTAGCTTCAGAACAATTTTTAGATGCTCGTATATTTTGTTAATTTTTGACAAACCTATTATTCCAAGTCTGTCGTTTTTAAAGACATATCATAATCAATATAGAGCCTATAGTGTCTACGACTGAACATAGGTTTTCATCAGTTTTTTGCAGGGCTCCCGATCGTGTGCCCTATATTCAGTTTGTTTTAACCCTTTTTACATCAATCCCCAGACAATGGCTGCAATCAAACTTTGTAGCAATTCCCAAAAAACCAAGTTCAACAACTTGCTCAGACCACAGAACAATAGCTTTAATGAGTCACACACTTAAAACATTTTTGAAAATAATTCACAGCAGAATTGTTAAAACTCTTGAATATGAGATTAGTGACACACAATTTGGCTTTAGAAATGGTATAAGTACAAGAGATGCTTTGTTCGGCTTGAATGTGCTGGCTCAGAGATGCATGGACATGAATCAGGATATGTACTTATGTTTTGTAGACTTTGAAAAGGCATTGATAAAGTTCAACGTAAAAAGCTTGTAGATATATTAAAAAGCAAAAATATTGACAGTCGTGATCTGAAAATTATATCTAATTTATATTGGAATCAAACTGCCAAGGTAAGAGTTGACAGCCAGGGTTGCGTGCTGTCCCCACTACTTTTCAATGTCTACACTGAAGCGGTATTTCAAGAAGCGCTCTCAGACTCAATAGAAGGTATATCTCTCAATGGGGAAGTTTTGAATAACTTACGTTTTGCAGACGATACAGTAATAATTACGGATAACAACAATGATTTACAGAACGTAATGCAACGCCTTAATGAACGCTGTCATGAGTACGGACTTAAGATAAATTTAAAGAAAACTAAATGCATGATCATGACTAAATCTGCACATGCAAATATCCAATTGACTATTGAAGATACTGCAATTGAGAGTGTTAATAATTATAAATACTTAGGAACATGGATAACATCAGATATAGACCAAACCAAAGAAATTAAGACACGTATTGAAATAGCACGTACATCATTTATTAAACTTAAAAGTTTCTTTGTTGTCGGGATATAAGGTTAGAACTACGCCTGAGAATGCTTCGATGTTACGTGTTCTCTACTCTTCTTTATGGTTTGGAAGCTTGGACACTAAAACAAGTTCATCTGAATAAGTTGGCCGACTTTGAATTTTGGTGTTACAGAAGAATCCTACGAATATCACGGATTCAAAGAATGTCAAACATGGAAGTAACTAGAAGGATAGGAAATGAGGCGGAAATAATATTAACTATTAAAAGACGAAAACTTGAAGTACTTGGGACATGTGATGAGAGGGCAAAAATACGCATTACTACAACTTATTATGCAGGGCAAAATCCGAGGAAAGCGAAATGTGGGAAGACGAAGAATATCCTGGCTTAAGAACTTAAGGGAATGGTTTGAATGCAGTAGTGCAGAACTTTTTAGAGCGGCAGTCAACAGAGTCCGCATAGCCATGATGATTTCCAACCTTCGATAGAAGATGGAACTTAAAGAAGAAGATATCATCCGTCTGCTGTCAGGGGTATTTCTCGACCTTTACCTCTAGATGCCTGAAATCTAGAATTCCACTTCATCGTGTGTTTAGTACACTCAGCGTCCATTTCCACAGCGCCCCTAGTTCTTGTTCTGGCTATTATAATTACGTTCGGAAGTCCCTCTTAGTGTTAATCCCAACATCAACGCCTCCATGACTCTTCACTCGAAGTCAGTCTGATTTTTTTACAAATTTGTACTTTTAAGTTTCTGTATCAGAAGTCAACACTGTGGCACACATTGTTTACAAAGGATCATTTTCAGACATATCGTTTTGTTGAAAGCCGCTTATAATAATTTTATTAGTCTTTTAATTTCACAGGTTAATTCAATTCAATTTTAACATCATCAGCTCTTCGATTAGGCTGATCT